CAACATTTAAGGCCTTTGACACTCCAGCAGAATATTAACTCTAGAGAGATAATACTAAAGATCAGAAACTAGATCTAAAGGATGCTAAAAGTGAGAAGTGCTCCCTTTGGCTGGTTTGAAGGAAAATCAGTTTCCCTTATAAGAAAAAATTAGAGTCCCTCATCTCCGGAGGAACTGGGATACCAAAGTCAAGATGCTGTCCCCTTGCCAGGGAAGACAAGCAAACCAAATAATAATATATATAAAAATTAAATGACAGCTGGGGCAAAAAGGGAGAGTGTTAAGACAGGACAAGCAAACAGGAGACAGAGCTGACCCTATACAAAATTTATTTGCCCAGACTCAAATCTCCTTTTCTACCTTCACTTATCTTCTCTTAACAACAAATTAAGGGCTTTCAATACCCTCGCGTTTTGTTCCCTGATTGTTTAAAATCTAGCACTTGTAGCCCCTCTATTCAGAGCGCTGCTTCCCCTCAAGGTGACACAAGTTCCAAATCTTATTCCTCTGTTCAAGTTTCACCTTCCTCAGATCCTTTTAGATGAGAATGGGAAGTGGGAGGAGATGTCACAAGCAAATTAAATTACTGGATCTAAAGAACATGCTGCGGACCTCCCAGGTGGCCCAAGGGGTTAAGACGCAACCTATGAAGCTGTCTGTAGCCGCTGCAACACAAGTTCGATCTCGGGCTGGCCAGGGAGCTACCCACATAGCACAGCAGACCTCTCCTGTATCGCCCGCTAATTCCCTCAGCAGTGTATTTCAGTCAATCTGCCTGTTCTGCTCCCCACTCTGTGTCTGGTGAATCCTCTCACCCCCCGCACCTCCGGCCTGTACCCCAGTTCTTGTATGCATAAATAAATAAATATTAAAAAATTTTAAAAAAAGAACAGGCTGCAAGTAACCTCCATCCAATAAATGTATTTAAAAATGTTTACCTTCACTCATATAAAAATGCAAACAAGAATCCAATTTCATATATCAAAGTGGCAAAAAGTATAAAGTTTAATAAAGCCCAATACTGTTGAACATGTAACAAGCATACTCATATATGCCTATTAATGTAAACTATTACAACCTAAATTATCAAAGGAATCAAAATAAATTATGATATACATTCATATAGTATTTAATTATATTTATCAATGTGTGCTAACATAAAAAGCACTTTGTGACATTAACTAGAGAAATAAAGTAAACTACAGGTTTTTTTAAGATTTATTTTATTTATTAATGCATACAAAAGCTGGGGTATAGGCCAGAGGTGGGGTGGAGGGGTGAGAGGATTCACCAGAGACAAAGTGGGGAGCATAACAGCAGACTGACTGAAATATACTGAGGCGGGGAGCAGCGGTTGAGACTGGAGAGGTCTGCTGCTCCATATGGGTTAGCTCCCTGGCCAGGGATCGAACTTGTACTGCAGTGGCTGCTGATAGCTTGATAGTGCTGAGACTTAACCCCTTGCACCACCAGGGAGGCCCCAAAGTAAACTACAGTTTAAAAAAGAAAAAAGTAAACAGGACTACAATACAATAGCATTGTATAGATTTTTTTAAAAAATAAACTCTCTGGAAACTGTTAGTAGTAGTTACCTTTTAGTGAAAAGAGGAAAAGTCACTTTTATTTTTACTTTTCTGTACTATTAAAATTTTTAATCATATTAACGTGTACTTTTAAATACACAATTCTTTAAATTACTCTATTCCTCCCAACCTTAATTGCTACTCTCACCGCCAATGCTGCACTACCACCACTCTCCATCATGTCCCAATAACTAAAGACTAACTGACACTGCATGATGAAATTTCCCCTAGTAAGGGATACATTTTGGATAACTATTTGGGGCTTTTCTTTAAAATCTCTTCACTTCTCCAAAACTACCTCAGAGATGAAAGAAGGCAGGAAAAGCATCTCCACAGTGCCCAAGGAACCACAAACTCTTGCTTCCTTTCTGGTCCCTAACCTGCTGTCCTAGAGAAAGACAATGATTGTGATTATAATAGCCTGTCCTTTTATCAGTTTTATAGTTAGTCTTGGCTAATTTCTCTAACATAAAAAAAAGTAACCTCAACTGTCATTGAAAAGGGTGAAACATCTGATCCTCCAAGATCTACCCTCTAGTTTTTCTCAACTCTCATCACCTTAATGCAGGTAGCCAATCACTAGTCTAAAACTTCCTCAGGGCAGGATCTCCATCCTGTTTACTGCATCATCCCTGGTACTGCATTATCCTTGGTACTGCATTTAGACAGAAGCGCAGTATTTGCACATTTTAACTGAATATGGTCAGAGTATATTCTCTGTCAAAGAGAAAGAGAGGTTAGTGAAGTACTTTTAGATCTTTCTTGGCCCTTTAAAGATGTTTCAAAATAACATCTTATTTTAATCAATGTTTCCTTAACTTCCCTTAGCTGACTTTTAAGTTTTACACAGCTAAACCAAGAATGTCTAATTATTGCTTACTATTAATGCCTAATCATTAGAGCATTACTTGACACAAGTAAATTTTACTCATTTTTGAATTTAATCTTCACAATTTTCTCACTGCATGATCATTCCAAGTAAAACAATTACAGTCTCCATACACTCCAAGAAATTACTGACCTTATTTTAAAACGAAGTACTTTTGGAATTTTTTTTTTTACAGTCCCAAACAGTAATACCCAAACAAACACAATGTCCTACAAATCCCTATTGTAATTGGAAGTGACAAATGACTGAGATAGCAAATAGCTTTAAACACACACACTCTCATACACAAATCTTATAACAAAATAAAGTTTAACACTAACTTTTCCAAATACTGCAGCCCACAAATTTCAAAAAGAATAAATCAATGCTATGTTAAGTTATGTTACACAATGAATCCAAGAAGGTGCTTTCAGAAGACAAGAGAACCTCAAGAGGTTATCTTTTGACGCAACTTCAGTGAACTGATTCCTGGATAGAAACTGTTAAAATCAGACTCTGAAACAGATGGTTAACCTTGGGTGAACGAATGAAAAGGGGAGAAATGAATGGAATATACTACATTGTATATTTTAAATATTTTAAATATTGCTTAAGCATGAATAAAACAAAACAGACCATGAGGAAGCTTTTAAATTTCCAAGATATCTAATTTCACCAATTCTACCCATGAATCAAAACATACCCCAATTCTACCTGATGACTATGACTCTAACTTTGGATAAACCAATTAAATCACAATCTGAACCTAACTGTTCATGTATATGGTGAGTTAGAAATTAATCATTTAAGTTTCCTTGTAGTCTTCTAACACTAACAGAAGAAAAACAAATTCATTCTTTTATATTGCATGTAATATTTGTCACCTAAGCTGAATCAGTGAGCTCTGTTAGTTGTAGGCACGCATGATCAAAAAAGCAGCACTGAGAAAGCCAAAGGACAATCTTAATTCTCCAAGACTGAGAAGCAGAAAGAACACAATCTTCCAGTATAGTTCCCTCCTCACAAAGTTTTGGTGATAGTCTACCAGTTAATTCTTCCACAGGGCAAGCCCTGTCTATTATATTTCAGACTTAACAAATTATTGTTACCGCTTTTGACTGTTAAGGCCGTAAGTTAAGGCAATATGACAACTTTAAAGTAAGTTCAAAATTAAAATGTGTATCCAACAGCCAACTGAGTAAAAGACACGTCAAATTAAGCTTAGTATAAAACATCTCGTAACACAAATCACTATCATTACATTTCTCCTCTAATTCTTAGAAAAAGACAGACACTACCAGACAGAAATAAAAGCTTTTACAGCGCAAAAGCTGTAAACTTTGTAAAAACAAAGTTAACAGAAGGCAAATCAACCTCAACAAAAGAGAAAACAAGAAAGGGCTTAAGTTTTTCTTCTTTTTAAGGGGCCAAATACAAATACTACCTTGTCATTTGTAATACACAGTTAAGAGGATTTTTTTTAAGCCGACAAAAGGTAAAACAAAACAAAAAAAAAATTACTTCAGTAACAAAACGAATGCCTAATGTACCTCTTCCATATAAATTTGCATTTCAAAAGACTGTTTTGACTTAGGATGTGTATTATATTGGAATTTTTGAGACTAAATCTATCTTAACATAAGAAGTTGCATGGTGATACTTTCCCCTAAATATTCACCACTGTAAGTATTAATTAGGTTTTCCGCTGTTACCAGATGACACAACAATAACTGTTCCAAAGCTGACCTGCATTCACCATTGGAATATTAATTTTATTGTCCCTAAAAATGCTAACCTATCTAACGGCTGCACTTTGTAAGTAAGTGTCCTTTCTAGCCCTTAAGTTGCTCAATGCCATTTTGGCGTTAACTATTTTACTCGACTACTGGATGAGTTAATTCGTAGAAAATGCTCTACGTTGAAACTTTAGATGTGTCAACTGAGGACAATGTTTATATGGCCATTCAAGTTTTAAATAATGATAATTTATTTACAGCTCACTTGATATATAAACATAAAGGTTGTCAGGAAGACAGTAGAGGACTCCCAGCTCACTCAAAACCGCAGACCAACCTTCTGCATTAAAGGTTACATCCAAAGTTTCCGAAACTAATAAACTGAGCGGGGTCGCTCAGACAGCACTGCCCATCCATCACTTCATAATGAAAAGCATGAGAAGCGCATTCACAGTACGTTCTTCCAAGTACAACGCGGGTTCCCTTTATCGGATTCCTTGGGATGCTTCAAACTAGGAGGTAGGGGAACTGCTCTTTCCAACCTTTCCCGGAGCTCACACAGTCCGCGTAAAGGAACGCAGGGGCATGCAATTCTGCAAAAAGACGAGATGCTGCATTTCTAGGTTCAGCTCCTTTCCCTCAAGGAACTGGACCGCTGCTTGTTGCACTGAACGTCTGTACCAAATGGCAGCAGCAACAGCAGCAGCAACGGCAACAGCAGCACCCGCCGAGATTTTTTTTTCCCTACCCAAAAACTTTTCAAGTGTCACTACCCTAAGAGCGCAGAAACGTTAAACATTTACATCCGCACACCCTTTCATTGTTGTTCCAAGTCCGAGGCTTTCCCGGAGGACAGACAGACCCCCGCGGTCGCCAGGGAGGAGCCACTCGAGCCAGCGCCGGGCTCTTCCTCCACGGGGTGCTCAGGTTCCCCTCTGGCCGGCTCCGCGGGGCGCGGCGGGCGCGCGTTGTCTCCCGCGACCCCAGCGTCAGCGTGTCACGGAGCCGCGCGCCCGCCGCGGGGCCCGGGCGGGCGGCCACCGCGAGGCGCGCGGGGCCCGGCGCAGGGGGCAAGGTCGCCCGCGGCCCGCACAGCGCCCGGGACCCCGCGCGGCCCCTCGCTCCCCGCCCCTCGCCCGGAAGGGGGAAAACCCGCCCGCGGGAGGATTCAACAGGAGCGCCGCGCCGCCCGCCTGCCGCCCGGGAAACAGCCGCCGGCCGGCGGGCGCGGGGGGAGGGGCGGCGCGGCCGGCGGCCCCGCACGGACCCCCGCCCGCGCGCAAGGTCACCGCCCGCAGCCCGCCGCTCCCGCCGCGGGCGGCCGGGCCAGGGCCAGGGCGGCAAGTTTAATTTCCAGACGCTACGGCGGAGCCCGCGGCGTGGAGGGCGCGCGCCGGCCGCGGGGCCCTCCCCGCCCCCACCGCGCAGCCCGCCCCACGCCCCCGGCCCGCGCCCCCCGCTGCTGGGCCCGGGCGGCCGCCAGGCAGGCGGCGGCTGCAGCCCCGACGCCGGGAGAGGAGTCTCGCCAGGCGAGCGGGCGGCGCTCGAGCCCCGCCACAGACACAGCCGCGGTGGCGCCCACTGGAAAATGGAGCACGGCAGCCCGACACGAGACACGTTTTCTTTCCGTTAACTGGGTTCTCGCCTACCTCCGGGTGGCCGACTCGCTACTCCTCTCACTCCGCTGCTCTCCGGGATCCGCCGCCGCCGCCGCATCCAATCGCCTCCTCCCCCCCCTCCCCTTCCGCAGCCAGCCCGGCCGTTCCTCCTCCTCTCCGCTTCAAAATGGCGCCAAGCGCTCTTCGGCGGCTGCTCCAATCGAACCGCCGCGGACAGCACTCGGGGGCAGGCAGAGCGCGGCGTGGGTGCGCAGCGCCCCCTGCTGACCAGACAGCCCCGCGCGCGCGCCCGGGCCCGCCAGGCTTTCCTCCGCCCCGCCCCTTTCGCGCGCGCGCCCGACTCCGCCCCGCCCCGCCCCGTTGCGCGCGCACGCAGCCGCGCGAGCGCGCCGAGGAAGCCGCGGTGGCCGGGAGAGCGACAGCTGTCAGTGCTTTTCGCTGCCTCCTGGGCTTCCTTCTGCTGGGAGCCACGTGCCTTGTCGTCCACCTCTAACTCTTTGGATAAGAGCTGGGCGTTTAAAACCCTGGAATTGAGAACTGATGTGCTATGTAAATAAAATACGGATTAACTGCTTTGCTTCCTGGTAACTCTGACCTAGTCCTGTCCAAATGCCATGAAATAGTTTCTTCTACACGTCTTTATTAAATCCCACAGTTTTCCCAATCTGAGGAATTTTTCCGGCGCCAGGTGGGGGAAAGGATACAGTAATTTAAGATGGAACAAAGCATTCCATTCATTCATTTTGTTATCACGGTTGTCCTTATAGGAGGAAAAAATAACTTGAAGACCACAAAGATGCTTTCCAGGAGGTGGGTTTTCTAAGCCCCTTCACTTACAAGAGCGCAACTCCTCTTCCTTGCAGGTTTGGGGGAGCATATTAAGGATTGATCTGCAATTACCATATAGAGGGGAAAATCTTGAAGGCCTTAATGAAATATAATCTCTAACAAAAAAAATTATACTACAGCAAATTAACTTACAGAAACTAAAGCTGTTTCATTTAAAACAACATTGTTACGGAAAAATCTGTGTACTTTTCTCTCATTTTTACTGTGAATTTAAAACTGATTTAATAAAAATAAAATCCCAAAAATAACCAAGTTGTAATTCATCAGGAGCAATATAATTGGATGTGGGATAACTCAAGATAGTTAAGAATATAAATGATTCAAAAATCAGTCCTGAAGGCTGAAGAGAGAAATTATGAGGGCATGATGTAAAAATGCTGATTTTATACAGACTAAATTAACAAAATTGTCTTTAATTAGAATTACAAATCCAGACCCTACCTGTACTCATTTTTTATTGCTACTGTTATAAATTACCACATATTTAATGACTATAAGCAACAACACAAATTTGTCTTACAGTTCTGCATTTCAGAGGACTGGCACTTGTTTCTCGATGCTAAAATCAAGATACTGACTCAGCTGTGTTCCCTTCTAGAGGCTCTAGGGGAAAATCCATTTTCTTGCCTTTTCCATCTTCGAGATGATAACCACATCCTTAGCTCATGTCACCTTCCTCCTTCACAGCCAGTACCATAGTATCTGAGTTTGTTTCTATTATCACAACTCTTTCTCTGACTCTCTCCTGCCTCCTTCATTCACTTTTAACGACCCTTGTGACCATACTGAGTCCACTTGGGTAATTTGAGATAGTTCTCCTAATTTAAGGTCAGACGATTAGCAACCTCAATTTGATCTGTTACCTTAATTCCCCTTTGCCATTTAACCTAACATGCTCACAGATTCTCGGACAGCTATATTTGGGGAACCATTATTCTGTCTGCCTTAATGTCTCTTAATTGGGTTATTTAGACCTTTTTTTTTTGGAGGGGCTAAAACCGAGGGTAAGGGGATTAGGGATTTGGAAGACATCTAGAATGCACATAGTTAATATAGGCAGTCCTAAATATGTCTCCATTGCCCCTACTACATATTGAAGATAGCCTTGTTACACTACAGCATGATTTCTGAAATCTTTGTCATCCCAAAGCTGAGCCAAATATCATATAAGCTTAACAATCCTCCTTTCCCCCATCCAGAGAAGACTTAGACTGCAGGCTGTCCAGAGGGTGTGTTGCAGGGTATGCTGAAAAATTGTCTCTTGAGGACCTAGAATTTCAAATTTACACCATTGGATAGAAAATAATTTCCAGGTTAAAAAATAAAATAGAATGGCATATGAATGTGTGCCTCTAGAAATATAGCACTTAGTGTATATAATTATATTTACTAAAATCAATAAATCAGAATCATTTTTAACCTGTACTGCAAATAAGCTGATTGAATGTACTCATAAGAGACTCTGTGAGTATATTAAAAGAAAAAAACAAGAGAGAAATACCACATTTGATGAGAACAAATATACCATATTACTTTTATATTTATCATTTCACTCCAAAAAGCAGTAAAATACTTATCATGTATAATAAAGCATACCTGGCAGGTAGGTAGTGAATGAGGAGACTGAACATTACCTACATATAGGCTATTTCTTATTTGATGTAATTTAGGCACCTTCCAAAGGCCAGTCAAGATAAAAATATGACCCCTATCAGCTTGCAACATTACTGAAATTTCCACTAGACTAATTCTTTGGGTTAAGGCATTGGATCTTCAGAAAATGTGTTGGAATGTGGTTATATTACATGAAAAAAATAACCAACCAGCCCACCAGTACCTACAAGCAGACACAAAGCTAAGTAGAAATTAATTTTGTGATATTTTAGGCATCCTGCAATCAGGTAAAGTCTTCTTCAAATTCCTGAAGTCTCCTATTCATAACGCTACCATGAAGGAACAATCCACATGGGGACTATTTCAAAATTCAGCTCCTGGTGCATAGAATTCCTCCTTCCATGATTAATTCCCTACACTCAGCTCTGTGTGACCCTCTTTAAAATGCAAATATTCCTAGAAGGATGCTACATTCATCTATAGTCTCAGAGCAGGGGTTCTCACTGGACCTGAGCAATTCTGTAGTCGCCTGGAAAGATCGTGAAACTGCTTGAACCTGTCAGCTGGCACTTACACCAGTTTCACATTAACAGAAAATTGTTTTCCTCTCTGTGAAGAAAAATAAGAGAGATAGGCTGAAAGAACCACCGGCATTTCTAATAGGAAAGAGTTAAGAGAGAAAATACGTCAAAGTGGAAAATTAGGGGATGGAGGTCATAATACGGTTTTATGCCTACCTTTGCCTACTTCATAATACAGTTTAATGCAAGAGCTAGCAAAAAATAAGCCAAGTCATTTTCCTTCTAATTTTCTTTTTAAACATTGTTTTACTTTTCTTGTCTCATTAAGAGTTCTGGACCAACTCTTTATCTGCCTAATAACCAATGGCACCTGGATATTCTATGGAGAAATTATTAATTTTTTTCACCAAATCTTTGGGAAATGTGTGTATATGCCTGTCATCAAGAATCATTTGCAGGGCCTCCCTGGTGGCACAAGAGGTTAAGCATAGCACTATGAAGCTATCCACAGCCTCTGCAGCACCAGTTCAATCCCCACCAAGCAGGGAGCTACCCACATGGCACAGCAGACCTCTCCTATATCACCCACTGCTCCCCTTAGCAGTGTATTTCAGTATATCTGCCTGTTCTGTGCCCAACTCTGTCTCTGGTGAATCCTCTAACCCCCCACACACACACCTCTGGCCTATACCTCAGTTCTTGTATGCATAAATAAATACATTTTTTTTAATGCATTTTATTTATTTATTTTTTTTTTTAAGATTTATTTATTTATTTATTTATTCATACAAGCACTAGGTACAGTCAGAAGCGCGGGAGGGTGAGAGACTTCACCAGAGTCAGAGCAGGGAGCAGAACAGGCAGACTAATGAAGTATACTGCTGAGGGGAGCAGTGGGGAAAAAGGAGAGGTCTGCCTCACCATGTGGGTTGCTTCCTGGCCAGCCGGGGATTGAACTCGCGTGTCAGAGGATGCAGATTGTTTCATAGTGCGGTGCTTAACCCCTTGCGCCACCAAGGAGGCCCCAATTCTCTCATTTTATATAAAGAAACAGCCCAAATAACTATGTGATTTGTCCAGGGATAAACATAAAGTAAATGTTTTCTTAAATATCATAATCTTCCAATTAATTTTAAAAGTAACTGTAAAATCCCATTTCATTTCACAGATATATTTGAATTTCTTCCATGTAAGTCACAAGCAAATACTATGGTTTTGTGAAATATTGATCGATGTGTGACAAAACAAAGAAAATTAGAACCTTAATTGTAGGGGACAGTTGCTTCAATATGTTTCCTCAAATTTGTTATATACA